AAGCTTATGATGGATTTGAAAAAATAGTAAGTCAAAAAGCTAGCTAAAAGGGAGGGTGTTTGAAGGAAGATAGAAAGGCTCAAAGTCAGTCATCAGGGTGATGATTCATATTTTAAGATGATGCATGCATTTCTAAGGCACTGTGCATTGTCTGGTTTGGAGACGGCGGGGATAAATTTACACTGATCCTTCATATATTTTCTCATACTGCTTCTTGAAAGTAATACAGTTAGACCTTTAAAGTCCTTTCAAGTCTCAAGCTACTCTGACTCAACTGCACATTTTTAACATGCCTGACTGAGATGAAGGGCATCGTCTGTTACTATGTATATAAAAAGATATTAACTGGCAGAAAGAACTATAAAAGCTGTGACCTTGACTTTGTCCACAGCACTATTTAGTCTAGTGATCAACAAAGTGGGCACATAAACACTTCAGCGTTATAATATATGTTCTATGAGGCCACTGTCGGGGAAAAAAATAAATTTGACACTTCTATTTATGTTCTTATTTCTCTTATGTTTTAGGGAACATTTTCTAATATGCACAGTATATTAGTGATTATATGCATATGATTACATATGCATATATATATTTATGAGGGAGTAGTTAAAACATTTACTAATAGTGTTGTGAACATAAAATTTTAAAGATCATTGCTTTAGTCCACTGTATTATTCAGTAGGTGGCAGACTTGAATGACTCGGTAGGGATTTTAGATGATATTCCTGAGAAGTTGAAGATAGCTGGAGGAATTTAAGTGTGGGAATGATAAAGCCAGATTATTTTTCAGAGAGCTCACTCTGAAAACTCAATGGAAGAAGGTTTGAGGGGGACAATGAAAAGCAGGATGGGCAGTGAGGAACCTCTTCCCCTCTTTCTAGGTAATTGGTAATGAGGGTTTCATCTGGAAGAGGTGCTAACCAGAACTGAGAGGAAAAGACTAAATAAATAAATAATGATCAGCTAAAATGTGTGGGATGTAGTGATTGATTGAAAGAGGAATGTGAGAGAAAAAGGGAAATGAATGATGCGTTCAAAAATTCTAGCTTAGATGACCACTTAAAAATCACCTGCAACAGAGGATATAATTAGGAAAGATTTGGGATGATCAGTGAACTTGTAACCATGTTGAGTTTGAGATGCTCAAAGGTCATTTTTTACGTGGAGATATACAGATAAAAGCTGGGATCTGAGGCTCAGGAAAGAGATCTGGATGGACAAATTGATTTGAGAGTCAGAAAAGCTACAGGGAGAGGGACTATGAAGTATAGAGGGTGACAGGATAAACCAAAAAGGCAAGATTGAGCATGCCAAGGAATATTAAGAACATTCATGTGCTAGGGCAACAAATACAAGGCACTTCTATGTATCTGGCCTAAACCTTGTGGTTTGAATTTTTTAAGTGAATGGATGAGGTGGAAAATGGTGATTCATAGATAGTGATATTTTTCAATCTTCAAAAGCATCTGCTACTCAAGATGGCATCATGAGGTGTGAAAGAAAACTTTCATTGTGAAAAATTAGTGAAGTGGTAATTTTGCTTCTATATTAAAGAGAACAATAATTTCAGAATTAAATGTATTTAAAATAACTAGATACATTTATGTATTTAGTGAATTTATGTACTTTCTTTTGTAAAATATTGGCTAAACTTTGTTCAAATAAATTAAAGATAACACCATCCAAATTAACATTTTACTTTATCATTTACTAAGAAAAATATTATGGATTGCATAGTTTACATCCTCATAAACTATATAGGAACTCCACATATGTTGTCTCCCTTATCTATTCCATCCTAGATATTTTTCTTTTTTTACCTAATTTATTATATTTTCCTATAATTATTACTTTATTCCATGCTATATTATATTTATTTATTTATTTTTAATAGAGTATTGCTTAATTTTTATTCTTACTGACTCTCAGGTACAGGAGTTGAGCTAATAATGCTCTTTAGGTCACGGCACACAGTCATTATTTTTCTACTCCCATTCTCCTCCCTCATCCATAGGTAACATTAGCACATGTCTGTGATATATTTTTTTCTTTGTATTGTTGTAAAAATATATAGTATAAAACATGTACTTTTAAATGTTTCTTCCTTTTTTGGTCCAGGCATTATATTTTAAAATATATATATTTGAGTTATATTGCATATATTTAATCTGTTGCTTTTAAAAGCTCCATAGGAACCCATGGTGTGTCTCCTCTGTAGTTTCTTTGTGGACTCTTGTATTACTTTCAGCTTGGAGTTAACACAAAGATTGCTGCAATCTATACTCTTGCATATCTGCTTATAGATATAATTGAAACATTTTTTAGCAGTTGGATTACTAGGTCCTAGAATATATATAATTCTAGCGTAAATAACTATGAGAATATTGTCAAGAGTAACAATAGGAGCAGGAGAGATCTTATATCATCATAACATCCCTAACAACATTTGACATCTGGCACTTTTGCCAAACACAAGAATGTAAATGGGTAACTCGTTATCTTAGCTTTATATTTCTAATTATCAATGAATTTGAATATCTTTCCTATACTAGTTGGACATTTGACCCACATTGTGTAATTTAGCTGATTATATTTTTTGTTGATTTATTATGGAATTCTGTTTCTCTTTGTGAATGACTGTCAGGCATTTGGGGTATATTTTTGATATTGTTCCTTTACCAGTTTCAGGTACTACAGCTGTCTAGTCCTAGTTCATTACTGATCTGTTAATTTTGCTCATGGTGTCCTTCCTTAAAGAAGAATATATGGATTTGATATAATTAAGTCATTAACCACTTGACTTTACATATCTATATAAATTAGATGTTATGTTCACTAGATTCATTAAAAAGAATCCTACTGATTTATGATTAGAGCTTTCTGTAATAGTTTTGGGACATTTGATGTGTTCATAATATTAATTTTCCTGTAAAGGATCACAAACTTTCTCTCCATTCCTTCAGAAAATCTTGTATATTATTAGAGTTATAGATTATTTTCCATATATTTGAATATTTGATATATTCTTTGTAATTTTTAGGTACTTTAATGTTTAGCTGCTATTACAAATTGTATCTCACTGCTGATTATATTTTCTAGTTTGTTATTGCTGATATACAGAAATAGTATTTATTTTCGTATATTGATCTTGTTCCAAAAACATATTAAACCTAATACAAGACCATATTAATGCTATTGGCTTTTCAAGGTAAATTACTTTATCTTTATACAATAACAGGTTATGTGTTCATTTGCAAATTTTATACCTCTTATTTGTCTTTTCCTTTAGTATTTTTTCAGAACCCCAGTGTTGTATTGTGAAACAGTAACAATGAGCATCCTTGTCTTGTTCCTTATTTTAACAGGAGACTATTTCTAAAAATGTCTTTTTTAAGTAAAATATTTGCTGTCAGTTTTTTAGATTTGAAACTTTACCAAATTAAGGAAACTTCCATATGTTTATAATTTGCTTTTCCTTACATAGACTGTGTATTAATTTATATCAGATGATTTTTCTGCATTTCTTAATGATGAGTTGCTACTTTTATCTGTGGCCAATTACATGGATATATTTGCTGATAGATGATTATCTTTACATTCTTAGGATAAGCCATACTTGATTATTTATTATGATCATGTATTATAATCTACTGGATTTAGATAGCCAGTATTTTTTAAAAATATGTACATTCAAAAGGACTATATTTAATAATTTTCTTTTTGTTGTACTTCCCAATTAGAATAAAAGGTTCAGTAGTCTCATAAAATGGCAATATTTCTGTGTACCTTTTCTTTGTCTCTCACTATTGATTGGTCATAGATAGATAGGAAATATAGTTCTTTGTAATGGTATTGTCCTGTACATCTGTATATATATATACAGCTTTTTTGTTTCTTGTTTTATTTAGCAGTACATCTCTAACATTATATTATTACATTTTAAAGGTGTAATTTTAATTGCAATGTAATGTTCTGTTAAATAGTAATATAATTTTTTATAGAATATTCTAATGTTTAGGTTTCTTTTGAAATTTTTGTCTTTTAAATGAAGCTATAATGATAACTACATTCTTTTGACAAATCAAACCGCTCATATTAATTAGTAAGTTCCCTGATATCTTCTACTTTGGGTCCCTGTCACACAGGACAGCTCAGGTAGTTAGGAAGTGCTTTATACACATATGTCAGATAAATCATTGAATTAGTGAGGGAATGGTTGTTTCCCCCCTGCCTGTATCAATTTTGCTAATGAGATTTCTGTTTGCTGACACTACATTAAATAGGCATTAAACAAAAAATCCCTTAAAAAGCACAGAGCTAGGGAAACTGGCAAAAAAAAATAAATAAATAAATCTAAGGACTCTTCTCCCTCTCTCTTTTGCTCCACATCTGAAACAGTTGATGTATCAACATCTGTCTGTGACTAAAGATTGACCAGTTCGTGAGGAATACTGCAAATCATATAAATGATATTTTATTTTCCACAAGAAAGTCTGTTTTAAAGCAATAATATTAGCCACCATTTCCTCAATATTTACTGAGCCCTAGGCTCTTTTCTGGAATTACCTTATCAAACTCTGGCCACACTCTGTGAAGTAGATACTGATCTCCATGTTTGTGCTAGCACATGCAGGGTAAGTTACTTGCCCGAAACCATGTAGCGAACACAGGTGGAAACTCAGTTCTAACTCAAATCTGTCTGACACCAAAGTTAGGTCTCTTAACCACTATAACTGCGATGTCAAATGTGTTTCACCTTGCGAATAAGTTTGAATGACTAGCCCTGATTGCAAAGATTGGTGAGTTAAACAGAATTCTACACAGGCACAGTTAGGCTTGATAGAGAGCACAGAGACTAAGTTTCAACAGCAGCTGCCATGGATGGGGCAGAGATTCGTGGCAGCATTTGGCCACTTATTTAACACCTCCCTTTCTCGACTATCTCTGAGCATAGGATGCATTCTTTTAACACAGTGCTTTCTGTGCTTATATTCCAGGATTCTCATCATCACCGACCTCTTCTTGCTGCTCCTCTAGTGCAGCTCCCTCCATGCCTCTGACACCAGCCTAACAGTGGGCTTTCTTGTCTCCTTCTTGGTTTTCTGGAGAGCAGGAGAGCATTCTGTCTCATGCTACTCTTCACTGTGGTGAGAGAGGATTCCATCTTCTTTTTCACCTTCTTTACCTCAACCATTCCAACAAAGAGAATAAGAAGCAAGAAGAAACAGTAGATTCCTGCAGGAAAGAATTCACAGCCATTTTTGGAAAGCAAATTATTATATTTTGAGAACTGACTGTTTTCCAAGTAACATGTGAATTTCTGAAAGTTTTATGTTTCATTATGTAAAAGTAAAGAAAATGTGCATATATTCCATTGGACTCCATCGGAATCTTTTATTGACATGCTAAGTCATTTCTTCTCTGTTGTTTTTCCATGATTTTTTAAAAATATTATTTTGTTGGTTAGATGACAAGGAAAGCTGCTTTGGGGGGAATTTTTATGCCTTATTATCCTTGTAGACACTATTCATAAAGGGCCCTCTTTTTTTGGCTCAGAGTAGTTGTGATTTCTCATGGCCACGTTTCCATTTTGCAATGTGGCTCTCATGAGAGCATCTTTCCTGAGTGTAGCTACTTCATTAGACAATGTTCACGATAATACGTTTTGCCATCTGCAGGGGAGCAATCACACTCTGGGCTCTGAATTTGATTCTTTAGTGAATCAAGAGCAAGTTTCCTATGAAAAGATAGGTCTTTAGCTGAGCTTTTGTTGGACATTAAAGAAAGTTAAAATATGAGATTAAAAAGAAATAATATTTTTATGTCTGCAAAGCCCTTTAGAATTGTACTGACATATTCTTCCCATGATGAATTCACTAGGAAATATGGAGACTATTTCAGGAGCTACAAGCAAATATAGATAGAAATAGTCACAATCAGATTGGTATAGATGTGTAAATCTACCCTTATGATGAAAATAATTGTGTCCTTTTATGGAATTTTTTGTCTATAATATTTTACAATTTTAACTATGATTTGGGATGCTTGGTAGAAATATACATTTTCTTATTAGCAAATATTCTTCTCTTTTATTTTGAGCTTTTAAATTCATAGTGAATATTTTAGTTTAACAAATAGCTTTGTATTTTACATATATATAAACTATTATATTACCTAATGAATCCATTGATAGGAAACATGTAGCTTTACCATAGGAATTTACATTGCATGGAATTGCTTTGTCTGAATTGTTGTATCCTAAATCAGTGTCATTGGTATAAAATCTTGCTCTCTAATCAGAGTATCTGAGTTGTTATGATGCAATTCTGCCAAAAAACTTATTTTCCTCTTAAGTTTAATATATGGAAAACTCTTAGAAACAATTCTTAGAATGCATTACATTATATATAAGTTATCTCGATAAAATTAATTTTTTAAAAAATACAGAAGCCACTTTGTTTAATTTTATATTAATTGATCAATTAATTTAACTGTGGGCACTATGCTATGGTATGGGGAACACCAAAGTGAACCATCAAGTGTAAAAACAAAAAATGCATTTTTTTCTTCTTCTAGGGTATTTTCTTTATGGAAGGGGATGACATCACTCAAATGTTCACATTATAAAAGAGGAGTTTATAAATGCAATCTCATGGAAAAGAACATTTAATGGAAGGATGTAGGGATGGGGTGTAGTTAGGTTGGTGAGGGAGTGGTCATCTGGGAAGTCTTTTTAGCAATGATAATTTTTGAGAAAAGATTGAAAGTATTAGTGAGAATGATAATTTGAAGAAGAGCAACAAAAACATGCTAAAGAGATGGAAATGCTTATATATAACCCCTGTGTCCTAAGCAGCTAAAATGCCTGAGAAACTGAAAGATAACCAAAGATGCTGCAACTATAGAAAGTGAGCAGGAGAATTATATTAGATGCAGTTGTCAGGGCCAAACAATGCCATGTCTTTATTGATTATGTGAGTAATTTTGATTTTTAGTGTAAGAACATTGGGCAGCTGCTGAGAGATTTAGCAGTTAGGATCAGCTAAATTTTATCAGGTACCATCGAAGAGGCAGGCAAAATGACGAGGAATGGATGAATTAACACATGTATGGAAAACAGAAGTCTGTAGCAAAATGAGAAATTAAAACTTTTCTCAAAGATCGCTCCAAATCAAGAGAATGAAACGATGCAGGTCTCATGTAAGCTTGGGCTTCAAAGTGCCTGCTTCCTTCTGAAACTTGAGGATGTACTCCAGAGACCAGACAATGACTCTGAAGATGGAATGTATTGATGAAAACTGGGAGTTTCCTATACATTATGCATTCTTCAAGTAGTATTCTTACTCAAACTCCAATATTACAGCCTTGAAACAAGAAATATTTTCTTTAAAAAATTGTATAGGTCACACTTCTAATGAATTCAGATTTCCCTGAATTTCAATCATTAGCTCTAAGTATTAAAACTATTTTAATTGTATTTCATATAAATCAACTGTGATCGTGTAAGCATTCCATTTTCTCTGTATCCCCACCTCTACCTTCTGCCTTCTCTGTGTAACTGTGTCTATGTGTCATTTTCTTCTCTTCAGATGGACTTCCTCAGACTATGACAGCCATCAGTTTACATATTACAGATCTTCTCTCTATAACATGTAACAAATATCTCTTTCAATCTCTCTCAATCTCTCTCTCTCTTTCAATTCCTGTGGAAGGTACTCTTAGTAACCCAGTTTGAATCAAGTTTCCCACCCTAATCCAATTAACCACAGCCAAAACAGTAAATTTAAATTTACAATAAATTTAAATGGCAGCTAGGAATGCCACTTGTCCTGGGAAAGAGAAGTGGTTGGGGGTAAAGCAGATAAATTCAAGTGAGGGAACATCCTTAAAAAGTTTAAAATTTATAGATTTTTTTTCCTAATTCTCCTTACTCAACTTAAAATTGGCCTGAATGATACTGTGCTATAATTCATTTTTCATCAATTAGGACTGTCAATATGTATCAAGACTCCACAAAAATACATAAGAACTATTTTGTAGCATTTTAATGTAACTATTTTACATGAAGATTTGTAAAATTAATGCGTATTGTGACCAGTTATTTTGAATACACAATGTACTTTAGGCAGAAGCAACTTTTTTGCTTTTCCATTAACTTTGCTTAAAAATTCCTTTCTGCCCTAGGATGAGATTTTATGTAAGTCCCATTCTTTTCTCAGTTTAAATAATGAAAGTCATCTGGTCACTTTGAAACATTAAAGAGTCTATTTCAATATGATAATTGAAATTTATAATCTCCAACTTAAATCTTTACTCATCTCTGAGCTTGGGTTTACCTCAGGTAAAGAAGTAGATAGCTAGTTTCTTCTCCCTCATTCTACCTTGTTTTAGATAGCTAGTTTCTTCTCCCTCATTCCACCTTGTTTTAGACTTAGAAAAGAAGATTTAGTGAAAAGGGCACAGGTTCATGTAGTGAGAGTAGTGATGGGGCATCAGAATGCATGGAAAGTGGCAAATCAAAGCTAACTTTTCTTTTATGAGACATGTTTAAGGATTCCTTTTGGTTGATTGCTTATGTCTCATTGCTCAGCTCATGCAGGTGGCCCTCTTGGTGGATGCACCTTTAAGATAACTCCAGGCCAGCTCTGTTTGGCAGGTGTCACCGCTAGACTCAGGAAAGAAAAATTGCCCATACAGCCATGTCTTGGCAGCCTGAGGAAATGTGGCCTGAGCCTCTCATTTTAGACCTTTAAAGTATGAGACAGAGTCCTATGCTTTTGTCCCCTAACTCTAAGGGATCTGTGTCATGCTTTTTAAAAACAATTACTTTTATTTATTTTTTATTTTTTGTAACTTTTGAGACAGGGTCTCACTCTCTTGCCCCAGCTAGAGTGCAGTGGCATCATCAAAGCTCAATACAACCTCAAAATCTTGAGCTCAAGTGATCCTCCTGCCTCAGCCTCCTGGGTAACTGGGACTATAGGTGCGACCACATGCCTGACTATTTTTGTTTTGTTTTGTTTCGTTTTGTTGATTTCTTGTAGAGAAGAAGTCTTGCTATTGCCCAGACTGGTCTCAAACTCTTGGCCTCAAATGATCCTCCTGCCTTAACTTCCCAAAGTGTTAGGATTTACAGGCATGAGCCACTGCAACCAGCCTCATCATGCTCTTTTAATGGTCATCTTGCAGTCCTGTCACTGGGCTTAATGTGAGAAGGAAGCACTCCTCTCTCATTCCCCACAGAGCACACCAAAATACTCTAAAACTTCCCTTTCACTCTTGAAATACTGTCTGAGGAGCCACAATATAGCCTGATGGATTGTTGAAATTATAGTATCTCGGATCTCACCTCAGGTCTACTGTATTTTAACAAGATCCCCAAATGCTTTGCACACAAATTAAAGTGTAAGAGCATTGTTTCATTTCACCTCAACTATTCTATGCCCTCAGTATGGAAGGTGGATTAATATTGGCTGAAATGCATTTATAATCTCAGCATATCCTACTTAGGTAGTCTAGAACTTGGAAGATTTGGCCTTTGATACCCCAGCTAACACAAAGACAGAGTAAGAGGCCCACTTTATTATATGCATTATTCTTGCATATTAAACTTACTATAAAAATGCAAAGTTCAGGAAAATAGATAACTAGAAAACTTTTATGATCACATTGCTTGAAGACAATTATTGTGAATATTTTATTTTTATGTATATGTCAAATTACTTATTTGATATTATGCTTAAAAACAATGTAATTAGAATGTGTGATGTCAGTACAGTTCCTAAAGCAAAAATGAAATCTTTTCTTTTTAGTATATACTTATTATTCATGAACATATGTTCCTGTAAAATAACAATACCAAGGAATATGGGTTTCATTCCTCTTCTCACCACCTCCCCCCCAACTCTGGTCCCCTCTCCTTTGCCAATTTGCTTTAGTATTTGGAAAATATTCTTTCAGAAATGTTTTCATATATACCTAAAGAAAAAATTTTAACATAAATTGATCTACAATATAAATCTGTTTTGCAGCCTACTTTAAAAAAATTATCTTTAATTATTATTACTCCACATCACAAC